CGACTGGACAAGAAAGACTTGGATTATGTTACCGAAATGGTGTTGGAACTTTAAAAAATCAAGAAAAAGCTATTAAATGGCTATTAAAGGCAAAAAATAAATTTCAAGAAATAGATTATCGTGAAAATCCTAATATTGATAATTTCTTAAAACAATTGTTAATTGAGAACAATTTAACAATAACATGGATACCGTTTAGCGAGTTAAATATTATAGAAAAAATTGGAAAAGGAGGATTTTCAACTGTTTATGCTGCTCTGTGGACACACTCATTTAACGATGCAAAACGAGAAATGTTTGTCGCACTTAAATTCTTTAATGAAACAAAAAATGCAAAAAATAGTTGTGAGGAGCTTTTAAAAGAGGTAAATAATTAACAGAATTAATAGTATAATGATTTACAAATATAAAAATTTCCATCATTAATTATAATATAATTTTTAAAGTTAAATATATATTATAGTATCGGAAGTAAAAGCCCAACATTTCTTCAATGTTATGGGATTACAAAGAAAGAAAACATAGACGAATACGCATTAGTTCTACAATATGTACCAATGGGATCTTTGCGTAAAAACCTTTCAGAAATTGCGCAAATGCCATGGGAAAGGAAATTAGATTTATTATCTTCTAATACATTCGCATAATATAATTCATTGTGATTTGCATAGTGATAATATACTTCAAATGAGCTTATGTAGCGCTTATATAGGTGATTTAGGACTTGCAAAATTATCCAATAATATATTAAACACTGAAACTAAAGGAATTTATGGAGCTTTACCATATATTGCTCCTGAGATTTTAAGAAGAAAAAAGCCGTATACAAAAGAATCAGACATTTATTCTTTTGGAATAATTATGTGGGAAATTTCATCAGGAAGGATTGCGTTTTCTGAATATGAAAATGATTTAAGTTTAGCTATAAAAATTTGTGAAGGATTAAGACCGAAAATTATTAAAGGTACAACGTTGTATTATGTAAATCTTTTAGAAAAGTGCTGGAATAGTAATCCTGATAATCGACCATCAGCTTTAGAAATTTATGAAACTATTACAACTTGGAAAAATGATGCAAACATTTTATCCGAATTTATGAAATCTAATAACGTGATTGAGATAAAAAATAATACTTTCAACACTATTTCAGAAATATATACTAGCGCTAGCAAATTTATTAATTGTATTAACGAACAACCAATCAGAGAACAACAACAAAGTAACGATAATATCATTATTGAAAATATAACAAAAGAATTAAATTCTATTAATATAAAATAAAAATCAACTTTTTTCATTAATTAATAATAATTATGATTAAAAATCTGACATATAACATATAAAATTAATGTAATATTATCGTTATAACTTATATTAGTAAAATTCTTTATGAGGTAGTTCGGCTCTGAAGGATACGTATAAAAAACAGCAAATTTCATAGTATAATTCAAAGATTGTAAATTCATATTTTGCTTAAATCTTACTGAATAATTGTTTCAATATTATACTGAGTCAAATACATATAATTGATTTAATTTGGTTTGTAAAATAAAAATATCTAATAAAATTTTTAAGATAACATGGGCAATTTGTAACAAGAAAAAACTATAAGCAGTTATTATCAGCAAACATTCTATTATCCGAAGGTAAAATAAATTTTTATCAACTATTAAATTATATTTTATAAAGACCAATTCTAGCCTTTTAATTGATAATTCGTAAATGCATTGCTATAAATGTATTACCTTATATTAATAATTAAAAATAATAGTGTTTTATTTTTTATATCTAATGGAAAATAATACATTTTGTTAAAATTGATACATGATATGTAACTCTGCGATTATATGATTTGTGATCTTGTATTCTTGCAATCTCTGCAATCTTGTATCTTTTTGCAGCAAAAAGAGTATTCGCAAAGGTTGCAACTAATCGAGGTGTAAAGTTGCAGCCTTGCAGCAGGCAACACTAATGGTGAGCATCAAGGGCATAATTTGACCAATCGCACTGAGGTCCCTAACACAAACCAAATTTTAGGGTGCCGATTAAATCTGCTATTTTGATCACATGATCTAAAATTTCAACTCAACTTTAAACCTATATCCATTCTCCATCGATTCTCTCATATTGTAATAACAACAAAAAAAAGTTTAGTCCTAAGAAAGAGGAATAAGTCATCTGTTAATATAAGTAGTCATTCACCAATTTGAAACATTATCCTTTTTCAAATTTTTTCTTTCTTCAATAATAACTCTCGCAAAATTACTTGATGTTCTACCACAACCCTTTGGTGTCTTCAAGAAATAATTTGCATTTATGCAAACTAATTTATCAAGTATTCCGTGTATACCAGAGCCTTTAAATTCGTTTTTATATTTTGGATTATCTCTAATTTGTGAGAAACTATTTAACGAAATCCATGTATCGAATTTTATATTATATTTGGAACTATTCTTTAAATTATTAGAATATTTATTGTTTAATCCAAGTATTTCAATAGCTTCTTTATGAAATTCTGAAATTTCATGTAATGTTCCTGATTGAGCTTTATTTCCGTTAAGTGGTAAGTCTGTTGCCAAATAAAAATTTTTTATTCCATATTGTTCTTGAATTGTTTTCACTTTTTCAATCAGTTTCTTGGCGCATTTTGGAACCATTTTTGGCTCTGCCCTCTCCACTCTCCAATGAATAGCTACATATGGTGTTAGTTTCTTTGTAATTTTTTTAGATTCTTTAATAATATATGGTGAATATGGAATTAACTTTTCACTACTAAGAAAAAACATATCCCTTTTTGACAAGTTTAATATCATTATTACTTCATATTTTTTTGCCATCGGTGATTTTTTTAGAGTTTTTATAGCAAGTTGTGACATTTTTTCGAGACTTTTTGTTGTAAACTCTTTAAACCCTGTATGAATTTCTATATAATTAATGATATTTAGATTAAATTGATCTATGCAAAGTTTTTTCATTTTTTTCATTTTTAATTTAATTCCTTCGTTTACTCCCATAGTTATATTATCGATTTCATCTTGAATCATCAATGAATGTTGTGCAATTGGCCGAATTTTTCTTTCTTTGGTCCATTTCAAAAATTTATCTTGTGATATGAATTGAACGTCTGGATACTGTTTTTGTAGTGCTTCTATATCATAATAAAAATTGAATGGATGTGGGTTACACGCGTTAAGTCTCGAATTGCCAACGTTTACTAGGACCATCGTACGATTTAGAGATCGTGCTAATTGTATGTAAGTACGAGTATGAATGTTGGAGCGAGTCTCTTGTTCTAGTTGAACATATGGAAACATGAAATTACATGTTTTTTTTTGACAATATTTCATATTGATCTTTTCATCCTCTGTTAGTAACGTTTCGGTTGACGAATTTTCTTCAATGTTATTACCTTCGACGATTTTATTTTCATTAATATTATTTTCACTGATATTATTATCTTCACTGATATTGATCTTTTCACTGATATTATTATCTTCAACGATATTATCTTCAGTGAAGTCGTAATTTTTAGGTATATGTATTACCTATATTTGATACAATTAATTTTTAATGTATAATATTATAAGAATTTTGTTAATTAAATATCGCAGGTTAATATTTAAAAAAAAAATTAAAATTCGGATTAGTTAGGGTTAGGGTTCGAGCTAGCATTAGGGTTGGGGTTAGAGGGCATATATATATGCAAAATTAAGAGCTGAAAACTTTTGATTAGAAGCCCAAGACTAGTTTACATAATTTTTGTTCTGTGATCTAATTTGTCGGTCATATTAACCTGCGATATAGCAACCTGCGATATTTAACAACATTCTATTATAAAATATTTTTTAAAAATACTTGCCTCAAATTCATTTTGTTCTAGTATTGAGGAGTAAAAAAGCCCCATACTAAGATAATAAATAAAAATATAAAAATTGATTTTTTTGCATTACTTGAGTCGAAAAATTTTAACGGCATTTTTATCGATAGATATTTAATATTTTCT